ACAGCTTTTTTATTTCGTATGGCTGTTACAATCAAACAGATTCTTCATTTCGTGTGATTGCAGCAATCAAACAGCTTTTTATGTCGTATGGCTGTTACAATCAAACGTGCCCGCATTGCTGCCGAGATGCCCACATGCCAAGTGACGTCAAATTGAATCTCCCGTAAATTGGAGGCTCGAGGCAGACGCGACCAGCTGTTGTCCTCTTGGCATTGCCTTTAATTCGTGGCCTTGTGATGCCACCACGACCACCACTGGCTGCTCACCACACCTCTTCTCTTCTCGACCACTGAGCTGCGTTAGGTGACTTGTCGTCTGTATACTTGCAGTAGTCTTATTTTATGTTCTACATACCCAACTTTAGTACTGTTATAATTACAACCTAACTTAGATACTCTGATAACGGTGGCCTCACTTTGACACACTACTTGCAGCACTCTAACTTGAATCTTTATTTACGACAAACTAACTCATGTACTCATATTACAGCAGCTTAGCTTTGATACACGTATTGAATAAGCTTTAATATAATACCCGTATAACAGCGGCCTAACTTTGACATACACTTCATGCAACAGCCCAACTCACACTGGCACAAATAAACCTAATGAAATAACACTAGGAGTAATCCTTGCTTCTTTACACTGAGTTTGGTGCCAGAGTTCTTGGATTACAGGAGCTGGGTTTGATGCACTCATAGCTCAAGGGATTTAAGACTATATAGTTGCTAACATCGAGCTCTTCTCAAAACTTCAGTTGAATTAGATATTTTATTCTAGGACGGACTATCATTCATTTGTTTTATGCACACGAACAAAATTTGTTGCGTTAAACTATCCTGGTAAGAATTATCGTCTTTGTAAACCTTTTACTTTTTATTGAGAATTTTTGGTACCGTATGTTAATTTGGTTTTTCAGAAAAAACCGCATTTGCAAATTCAATGCTATTACTATGAAAATACAAAGTGCGTTATGAGTACGGTACTAAATAAAACTTCTTGTTGTGTGACCTTATCGCATGATTAATTTTTTTATCAACATTATAATACAGACTTTTAATTGTTCATTAATACAGAATTTTTGAATGGGTCAAGGACACTGCCATAATACTTATCTCAAGGTGCATCCGCTTTCCGTTTCACGGTGCGATTATTTACTGAGGGAGATTAGATTGGAATGTTTCAGTCCATTGTAATATTATTTAAATGCTATGTGAATACAAATAATCATTTGGCGTTATTTCCAGGTCATTTAGAACAGGATGCGCTGTTTTGCAAAAGAGATAAGGGCTCTGTATCATCGAACGTTACCTTGGCTGCAGTTCAGCTACTATAGCTACCATAGCCATTGCAGCTGCTATTGCTACTGTAGCTGCCAGAGGTACTGTAGCTGCTAGAGCTATTGTTGCTGCTGGAGCTACTGTAGGTGCTATAGCCACTGTAGCTGCTAGAGCTGCTGTAGCTGCCAGAGCTACTGTAGCAGCTATAGCTACTGTAGCTGCTGTAGCTACTGTAGCTACCATAGCTATTGCAGCTGCTATAGCCACTGTAGCTGCTATAGCTACTGTAGCTGCTAGAGCTACTGTTGCTGCTATAGCTACTGTTGCTGCTATAGCTACTGTAGCTGCCATAGCTGCTGTAGCTGTTGTGTAACCACAGTAAATTGTTCTCGTATATCACAGGTATTGTCCGATTATCCAATTACCATGAAATTATCAGTTTTCAAGTAATGCTTCTACGTTCTCGTCACTACCGGTTATCCATTGCGCACGTTAAAATTTTGCATGTGTTGGTTGCCTCTAAAATGAAATGATCTTGGCTCAATCTTCCCTGTGTTGAGCTCCACTACGAGTTATGTTCTTCTGTGCTTAGGACGCAGTTCAAAAATACTCGAATTTGAAGTATAAATTTGTTATTTGAACATGGTTGTTCCACAGCGAGGCACCAGCCATTACTGTATTACGCGTCATTCATAATCATTCGCATAAACATGTTCCTATTTATCGGCTGGAAATTAAATCTTGATTTCCATATTTAACTTAATCTGTTTATCGCTGGCAAGGAGAGAAGCTGCAACCTTACTCTCGGATCACTTTCCTATTTACAGAGTTAATTTCTCCGTTTCGAGTGCTCAGTTGTTGATTTATAATACGCCATAATGCAGCGGTTTACACAACGCATAAATCTTACTTTAATATTCAAAACTCAGCTGGCTTATTTGTCCCTCCTATTTGTCTTCTCACTCGCTCTGGCAGTCTGCGTGCGCGGGAGCTCCAATCTTTCTCGAGTCTTCGCGCTCTGCTGGTCACTGCAGCCTTTTTCAAGGTCCAAGTCAAGCTTCCTGCGTGCCGCTTCTGTTTCACGTATCGTTGTTATGCACGTATAACGGCTTTTGTTCACGTATCGTTGTTATGCACGTATAACAGCTTCTGTTTCACGTATCGTTATTATGCACGTATAACAGCTTTTGTTCACGTATCGTTGTTACGCACGTATAACAGCTTCTGTTTCACGTATCGTTATTATGCACGTATAACAGCGTCTGTTTCACGCTGTATTCATTCCCTATTAATCCAACATCCATATCAACTGCTAGCGAATATCATCGATTGGAGTCATTTTTTTATCATTGTTTTGGTAGATAGTTGCGCACGTACTCCAAGCAAGCTCGAAATTCACTATTGCGACAAAAAATATCCATACTTTGTTTCAAACGATTAAACTTTGACAAGAAGTACTGCTAGCGACTTGAAATGAACCCATGTTACATTTATGTATTCAATATACGTATCGTAGTATATAATCGTACTTACGACGGCGCAAAAGTATACCGTAAATTAATAGCGTCAGAAGGTGTAATATACTGTCTATTGGAAGAATCTATTACTACCTAAACCCGCAATTGCTGTCATCTTCAATATAGTTTTCCGCAAACACTGAGAACGTTGGGCATCGCCGAACTAGCATTTCTGGGCAGTTCTATCGCAGCTCACGCGGCCTTTGCTCGCGATAATTGGCTCTATTTATCGCAGGCCCCAGTGCAGCAATGCAAGCCTCCTCGGTCACTCGGCATGAGTTGCATGCTGTCTATGTTGTCTATGCTCCGAATTTATGATGTAATTATTGCTCTTCAAGCGGCAGCACGTGTATTGCGCTCTATTCAGTCTGCGCCTCTTTGCAAATGCTTCAAGATTGTACAAATTATTAGTTCCTGGGGAACCGCTAGCAAGCGAACCAATGGTGCACCGCGATGAGGCACCGGTTTATGAGCTTTAATTGAATACTCGACGACCAGTCAAAGTTTTCCTTTGCAATTGCATAATCAACGTCTGGCGACGAATATTGCTTATTTAACTCGTCTATTTCAACATATATCAGTATCACATCTTACGTTCAGCTACCAAAATCTACTCCTTTGCGTTGTTAACAAAATTTTTCATTGAAATTTGGATGACACTGCAATTATTTGCAAATCGTCAATCCTCGAAGATATTCTCGATCGGTTCCTTCTTTAATTTTGTTGCTTGATTCGTTTCGAATTACGTTATGTTTCTGTTGTATCGCTTGGGGCTCATAGATCTTTTGGTGTGACACGCAAACGTCCCGGCAATTTATCTCTCTGGCGCAGAGACCTTCTCATAGCTCCACAGCGTCTTCAGCGCACATGTGCTCTATGATGCTGCCCGTACTTTCAAAACTCGCTTCAGTACACGTTGCTGAAAGATGATCATTTCCTACATTAGGTCATTATTAAGGACTAGATTTGAATGCCTCAACAGACAAGTTGAAGTTACTCACAAGATTAGAAATGTTATATTATATTGGATTTGGTTTCACAAAGAGTTTAACAAGGATTTAGTGCTAATGGCTTGAATGGCTCAGACCACATCTTCATTCTGCTTTGAACCGTAAACAAAGAATCGGTGCGTGGTATTTTATTGTATTACGGGTAGTATTTTTCACCGGAATGTACTGAAAGATCTCATTTGAGAAGCATGATACAATTGACATTCTATAATGTATTCATTCATCAACTTTGTTCTAAGTTGATAAAATATTATTTGTCATTGTTAAAGTCTGATACATCGATTTAATAAATGCCAAAGTCGCCTTAGCGAGTATAATGCCGGGCGGTAACAATTTCTTTCGTTGAATTCTTTCCTCAGAAAATTAATACAAAATTTCTTCTATCGTAAAGTGACTTGAACTCCATGCCCAAGTCACGAAGTGTAAGCTAAAGGTTTTAATTTGAGCCGGTGTGAACTTTTCCCTTCGTCAAAACTAATTTAATTGGTAAGTTCGTTCTCTGAAACTTCCTCTCTCGTTCACGTATATTTGTCAGACGTAATTGACAAAAGATCGAGACTCTTCGAGCCACCTCGTTGTAGCCACGGTAGCTGACCGAAAATGTCAAATATCAGCTCCATTCTTCATTTAATGAACGATTGATTGGATACGTGGATATACTTTCATCTCCGGTCAAAGACTTTCATTATTCAAACTTCACTTGGAAAAAGTAATAGAATTTATTTGTTTTGGTGCCGTCTTCAGGTGTTGATGTGAAGGAGAAAGCGGTGCGATGTTTCTACGAATAATAATACAATCATTGTAAGAAAGGAAACAATAGTTATTGATGAACAAATGTTTTAGACAAATTGTGAAATGTGTGAACAAATTTCTTCGATTCAAATTTTAAACGACGTTTTTCGGGTGTTTCTTTTTTGTTCATTATAATGTGACCAAAATCTGGGAAATCTGCTTTGAAGGAGTTCTCAAAAACACCTTCTCAAAATCAATCGATGTCTTACTATTTCCTTGCTTTGTCATGTTGTGTAATTATTTTAGTATCTTACGTGTGCTCATTGACTTTATTGAAAATAATATTGAAGATAATGTAATCTATGAGAATATTTAGACGTGTCATTTATAGTTTCGGAAATGCCGTCAAAATTGCTTCCATTTCATGCCACGTTATCCATATTTTTTGTATTTGACTTGCAGGAATGTGTGTGAACTCAGTGCAGAAAGTATTTATTTTAGGAAAGAAACGTCAACCCTCCTTAGCAATGAGACATTAAAGATAAAACTCAGTGAGAATCTATACGTTATAGACGCATCATCCAACAGCGATACGACACGACCATCGAACATCTGAGGTGAGCACCGCTACAAAAATAATGATTGCCATTTCAGTGTTCTATGTTTTTTTTTGTTTACAGGCATTCATGTATTCAAATCACCTCTATCAATAGAAATTTATCTCTCTAGCATGAATTCAAATTTGCAGCCCTCGCCTCATCGGGGTCTGGAAAAATAATAAATTATGATCTGTGCTCTCCTAGTTTTGTAACATTCTTATTCTCGGGAGTTTAATGTGAAATGGCGACTCAGTTTATTCAGGCAATTTTCAACAAAAATGCTCGTATCTTCTTGAATACTAATTTACTTTATCTTATGCAGTTTTTGGTAATCTTAAATTTTTTACTTCTTCATCACTTTTTATTCCTTCTATTCCCTTATAGCTGTCAAATTATTGAGCTATTATGTTTTTCGACTACAATAAAGCTGCCTAGATATTCCCAATATCTGACGTCATTAGGTACTTCTTTGGTAGCCACTATCAAGAGGCTCACGGCATCTGGCGTGCGCCACAAAGCTGTTTAAAGCGCCCAACTTCTTGGCGTAAATCGCTTTCCGATGTCGGGATCCATCGACTCCCACGAAGGCTTCGCATAGAAGCCACATCTTCTTTTCTTTGCTTCATCACTTATTCGGTTTTATCCTTGGATATATGTTGTCAATTCCTATCTTTTGTCTTTATACGAGTAATTAGATTCAATAGGCTTTTATAGTGACTATCCACAATGGATTTGTGAAATATTGCGTGTTTGAAGCCATCCGCTGAAAATATATTGGAGTTTCTATATAGAGGACGTATTCAACATAAAATACATGTTGCTGTATGGCCAAGGTATAAATTCAATTTTTATTGCCGGAATCATCTATGTTTCGCGAAAAAGTAGCTGGACTAACATATGAAATTTCAACGCAATCGACGGCCAAATTTGAGTGCTTCATTTTCTAGTGCGCGAAGGAGAATATTTTCCTCTAGATCAGTGGTTCCCAAAGTGGGCGATATCGCCCCCCTAGGGGCGGTGGAAAGATTTTGGGGGCGGTAAGGAAGAAAAGGACCGTAGGGGGGCGATAGGGGGGCGGTAGCCCGAAGTCGATGTCAGAAGTTTGAACGTTTGCCGATTTGTACACAACACGTGCAGCACACGACTCCCAGCGATGTTTTTTTTTCACCCAGATCTGTTTTTTTTACCTCTCCTGGGTTTACGTCTCAGACAAATTAGCGGCCGGACTCGGTGCCAATTTCCAAATTCAATGATCAAGGAATATCTCTCAAACTAATGAACTTAACTCGATAAAACTTGGTACATGTATTCATTACGACCTAACGGCAATGTTTAGCTCCTGAAATTGATTGACTTTTGCCATCATTTGTTTTTGCCAAAGTTATATGGCAATACGGCTGAAATTTACAGTCATCAAGGAACTACTGAACAGATTCAAACGAAATTTTGAATTTACAGTCCTAACTATCGAACGGTAATGTTTAGCTCGTGAAAATTCTTTCGATTGTGCCTTCGTTCGCATTTTTTTTTTTTCATTTCACCTTCATTCGTGATTTAAACAGCAATACGTGCTTAAATTCACAGTAATCAAAAAATTTCTTCCAAACTACAGAACAGATTTGAACGAAACTTAGTATTTAAATACCTAACCTCAGCAGCAGTGATGTTTATCTCGTTACAATTTTTTTCGATTTTGCCTTCGTTTGTGAGTTATACGGCTACACGTATACAGCTATACGTACGGCTTTTGGTTGAACCGGCCGGTAGAAAAGTCGGTCGTTTCTCCTATATCGGTATAACTCGCGAACGAAAGCAAAATAGAAAAATTGTCACGAGCTAAACATCACTGTTGGGAGGTTAGGTATTTATATACAAAGTTTCGTTGAAATCTGTTCAGTAGTTTAGAAGGAATATTTTGATCGCAGCGAATTTAAGTGACAAATTTCCCGGCGATACGGGCCGAATATAAGGAAGTGTGAAATCAAGAATGACGGTGAAATAAAAAAAAATCGCAAACGAAGGTAAAATAAAAATTTTTTAATAGCTAAAAATCACCGTTTGGTAGTTACCCTATCGAAATTCGAAGACCTGTCAGCCGCTGGCACACGGACGCCCCAGGTTCTTATGGCCGGGTAAATTAGAAGCTCTATGTCCGCATTAGGTTCCGGTTGCCGTAGCGAAATAAGCGCCGAAATGGAATCTTGTGAAATTACTCGTCGAGCTTGGGGCGATCGTGGGGCTGTCTCTTATACACATCTAGACGTTCGGGACAGACACGGCCGAATATGAAAAATGCTTAAAAAAATGCCCCCTCCCTTCCCCCCCTTATGGGGGGAAGGGAGGGGGCATTTCAATCTCTGAACGTTATATATA